AGCGCCCTTTGGCTACTCATGTGCAGATCTCCAGGGAGAGTGAAAGTAAATCCAAAAGTTCCCGGAGTATTTAATATGCTACCTGGAGCGCGTGGTGACGTGTTTCTTCGCTGTCAAAGTGGAGAAATGTTTTACTCATGTTGGTGTCAGTCTGCAGGGCTCGTTCTGACTCGCTGAAGTGCCTCCGTCAGCTTAAAGATATGCGTGGTTTGCGAAACTAGTTGGTAAAATCTCTCACTCTCTCCCTCTCTCTCCCCGTCAGCTCATCGAACATTAGGGAAAATAGGGAGGGAAAAATCCGCAAGTCCTAATTAGAGGCAGCACATCCGATATGTGTCACGGTGTGACGGTGGTTATTGCATGGATGCAGTCGGGAAGATATTTCTCCATCACTACTGTATGACTTATCACCTACAAAAAATGCAGGTGATGGGGGATTGGGAAGAAATCAAAAGTAGACTAAATAAAACTTCTTATCACTTTAAAAAACACTGAGATTCGAAGTATTTTTAAGTAATTTAGCCCACAGTTAAAAAAACAAACAAACAAATATTTGCCATTGATCTGGACATATTTTACTTTTTGAGTCTGATTACTTTAGTACTTTTTAAATGTAATCTTTACATAGTTGTTTGAAAAACACATCGTGTTTTTTTTTTATCGTGGTTTATTGACCCGTTGAAATATAGCACAAGTGAGAGATGTGTCTTAAATAATCCTCAACTGAAATCTATAGGCGAGTTCTACAAGATGGTGGTAGAAGTAACAAGTGGAGAAAAAGATGTTAACAGTATTTTGAGTTCATACAATTTTAACAAGACTGAATTTTCTTTTCTTTTCTTTTCTTTTCTTTTCTTTTCTTTTCTTTTCTTTTCTTTTCTTTTCCAATACAGCTTAAACTCTCAGGCAAGCCTTCTTGAGCTCTTCTTTTGGATGCTGGTTTACTCTGTTCTCTGTCAAGATGATCCCACTGCTTCAAGGATGTTGAGTTCCAGGTTATGAGGAGAGCAGTCCACGACTAACAGTGAGTCATCCTATGTTTTTCTTTCCAGCTATGCTTTTCTAGCATTGGCATTATCTTTCTTCTATTGAGGGACTCGAGTGCCCAAAAGAAATAAATTAACACATTATTAAATAAATGTGCAATTAATTATTTTGCATTTGTAATAAACAAACAGTTTATTAAATATTGACATTAAATTTACTGATATTTAATTAATTGCTTGTTTCAGATTTTTATTCATTAACAACACATTTAGTTAATTATTTCATGATGTATATATTTAATTAATTTTGGCCCTCCACGTTCTCCAGATCTCTTCCATACATATTGTGGATGATTTCAGCCATAAATTTCAAATTTGGATTAATAGCTCTATTTGACTCATTCACTGTGGTTTTTGTGAAATTTGGCATACCCTATTCTTTTCTTCCTGTTTCCTTTCCTTGAACGTAGCTTCTTGACATTCACCCTTCCACTGAGGTCAAATTTGTGAGGCTTTCAGTGAACAGAATGGCTCAACTGAAGGGTCAGATGGAACTTTCAGTTCCCGTGTCAGGTCTTTGCTATGCTAATAATTTCCTTGTAACTAAAACCAATTCTGAAGTATGATGTCACTAACTCATCTACACATGGCATTTTGTAGAGGCTACAGCAGCCGTGACAGTTTGCCTTGAAACAACTGTAACCTCCAAATTTGGACTTTTTTTTCTCAAAATAGTATTTTGACTTTTTGCACTTATCCTCAAAAATGATCAATAATATAATTTTTTTTCTTCCTAATATGTCCCTAAGACTATCCTAATAACTACCCTAATAACACCCTAATTCAATACCCTGTTGTACACAACAATATTAAGTTTATATTTTATACTGTGGGCCTGTGTTAAGCGGCTAAAGAAACAAAACAAAAAGCATTCCTTTAAAAATGGTCAGGTTTGTGCCTGAACTATAAATGAGTGAAAAAGTAACCAATGTCCAAAGAAAAACTTAGAAAGACCTTCAGAAAGTTTGGAGAACGATTACTGAAAACCAATTTAAAACATTACAAGTAAGTACTTTATAAAGATGTGGTTCTTGTGTCAGTGACAAATAATACTAAAGTTCATCTTTTGGAAAATACCCACAGTGGTTTGATGCCAATGTGTGAAAGAACTGTGGTAACTGGAACATGCAGTTCCATGCAACGTGAAACTACAGAGCCAGCAACAAGTTATTTTAGCTTAAACTAGGCATGAAGACTGGAAACAGCTGATAACATCTATACTGGATACAGTCTATGTGACAAAAGGGAGCACAGTCTATCTACCAGCAATGCTAATAAAGTCCACTGAGTAATATTCCTTGATTATTTCATTCATTTATGGATTCAGAAACTAAGAAAACAATAATCATATAGTTTTCCATTCTGATAGTTTGCTGTATGTGCTTGAAAGCTTTACAGTAACAGTGGCATATCATGAAAGAATAACTTCATTAATTCATTCATTGATGTGGGCATTTGTATGAAGATGCACACAGATAGTAAACTAACTTATTTTGACTTGTGCTGCGGCTGACCAAAAGTGCAGTAAGTACTGGCAACTGCACTCTGTTGTCTAGTCTTTTTCCCCCAATCCCAAAGCAGACAACAGTGGGACCATTTATGCCAAATACAGGCAACTATACATGTTTTAAGTTTTCAACGGATGAGTTAAAGTATAAACTGGGAGAAATTGACCCAAGCTGGTGTGCTGTCACACTCACGGGAAGAACCACAAACAATGTAAGTGACCCAAACACAGTGATTGGAACATGGGCAAGAAGTGGGTTATATTATTATTGTGGGCAGAACACCCTTTTGGTTCGTGTTCCTCTGGGTAGTGAAGGGACATGTGCTATGGTGCGGCTGGGAGCTCCACTCATACTCATCGGAAACCAGGTAAAAGCCATTCCACAACGCAACACATGTACTTTAGCAGCCAAATGTAAAAGACACATTTTGGCAAAAAGAGGGACCCAGGCTACCCATGCGTACGACCCCAGACTGAACTCTCCTACCTGGATTGACTCCATAGGGGTGCCCAGGGGAGTTCAGAACGAGTATAAACTAGCAGACCAAGTAGCTTCAGGATTTGAAAGTATATTCATCTGGGTAACGCCTAATAAGAATGTTGATCGCATTAACTATCTTCATTACAATGTGCTGAGACTCTCTAACCTTACCAGGGACGCCATGGAAGGGTTCGCAGAACAATTGGGTCCGACCTCGTTGATGGGAGTGCAAAATCTAATGGCCCTTGACATGTTGTTGGCGGAGAAAGGGGGCGTCTGTGCCATGTTTGGAGACATGTGCTGCACCTTTATCTCCAATAATACTGCTCCAGATGGCTCGGTAACCCGAGCTCTGCAGGACCTGAAAACTCTGTCTAAAACCATGCATGAGCACTCAGGTATCGACAACCCGCTGGAGAGCTGGATGTCATCCGTGTTTGGCCAATGGAAGGGTTTGGCTATGTCGGTTATGCTTTCAATTGCTACATTTTTAGGGATACTGGTCACCTGTGGTTTTTGTCTCATTCCTTGTGTCAGAGGATTGTTGGTAAAGGTAATAACAAGGGCTGTGGACCCCGGAGCGGTTGTTCCGATGTCCATAATGCCACTGATGGAACAAGAAGCGGTTGAGTGGGCCGAGGAATGACACAACACGAGGTGTGGTGACATTTCTTTCAAAATGTCAAAAGAGGGAATGTGGAGATACAGAAATTATTTTACTGCTAGAATATAACCTGCATTATTAACATTGAATTAATAATATATCCCACAGCCTTGATATTGCATTAAAGATGTTTATTAAAGCTATGGCCATCACATTAACCTTTTTATTCCAGGTGCAGCTATGATTATTTTACACACATTGCATGTTTGTGCTCATTTAGTGTTGATGCTCAGTCTATTAAAGAAGGTTTTAAGCTTTGTGGAGCGCTATGTCTTCACAATCTATTGTGTAGGTGACTTGGAGCATAGAAGGATAGACAGCATACACGCTTACAACACACATATAATCCAGAAGCCTGCCAGGCCAAAGGCCCGAAATTCATTTAGCTTCTAACTGCATTTCAGTTTACTTAGTAACAGATGACAGAAGACCAGTTAAGAAAAGGACAAGTCCTTAGAGATCATCTAGACTTGAAATGTATTGCTATGTATGGAAGATCATATAGAAAAAGGAACTTCTGTGTCTGTTTTTAGCCATCTAAGACGTACCTTTTACTGTAATCGATGTATTTGACCTGTAATCGACTCAAGAAGGGGCGTTAACCCTGATGTTATAAAACTATTGCCAAATGTATTTTTAGCAGGAGACGGTGTGCTGATGTGATGCTGTATACTTCTCCTCCTGCGTGTGTTTTAATAAACTCATTGTTTGATTGCACTCTCCTGGCCCTCGGTTGGTTTGTTTCATTGCTCAACATTTTCGAACTCGTGACATTTTGTTCATTTATGCCTTTGTTTTTGTGTATCGACATCACTAGCACCACTTTCCTAAAAGTAAGCAAACCAACTTGTACACTGAAAAATATCAGATGCCGATCAGCACAACAAAAAGTGACCCTATTTACAACGACAGAAACAAAAAGTCCCAGTTGTATGTTTTCTTTTAGAAACTTTGTGGTGGTTGACTCCTGAACGAACCAAGGAGGGGAATAACCAAAAAGGCACCAAAGATATTTTTCAAAATATATATATTTTTGCCTCGTCTTACAAGAGACAAGTACAATTAATGACTTTACATTTTGCTGTACCTTTTTCCAGTTTTCATACACTTTTAATGTAGTTATAAATGTACATTTTTTAGATGACCTGGTGAGATAAGCTTGATTTTTTTAATATGTTGCATTTATTTTCATTATGTGAGACATGGAAAACAAAAGCTTGCTCACAGTAGAAGGAAATAAAATGTAACAACTTTACAAGTCGTTTTATCCCCACAAGTAGTGTTACAATGTATAAAAAAATATTTTTTTTCTTTTTTAAATTAAGAGTAAATTAAGAGATTGGTGATTGACTTATTTTGATTAGTGAAACTGCAGCACAACATTCAAGATAAACAGTTTTCAGCAGTAGGTGGCAGCAAAACCCCTATCAGTGGATGCTGACTCTGAATGCTACTCTAGCAATTATCCTGAGGTTTAGCCATTTTTGTATTTGTTTTCATACATGGAGGAAGATAGAAAGATAGCATGATCCTGACTGTGAAGTGATATCACAG